GTGATCTACGCCTACTCGAAGCTATTACCGCCTTATTTTGGTTGTCAGCGAAAGCTGTTTTGATTTAAGACCAACATAATTTAAACGTCCGAGTTTGCACAAATTTTACTACCCATTAATTAAATAGAAGTAAAATTTAACAATTAATCCTGATTGAAATTTACGAAAATATAAACAAGGTTACCGATTTTTAAATTTTAACTAAAAAAATTTGAGCTGTAGGCTGTTGTTTTTGTAATAATTATATAAAAACAAAGACAAATAAGAATGAAGAGTGATGTCAGAAAGCCTTCCTTTTGTCGTTTAGGAATCTCGTTAAGCCGGAAAATGGAAAAGTAAATAACTCAGCTTTAATAAGCAGAAAAGGGGGAAGATACTGAAATCCTCTTACTCATAAAACTGAATGGAAATGTAACAACCATTTAACGACATTCGCGCTCCCAGAATCTAAACTAGGTACCGAGATTACGTCTTAGCTGTTTTATTAATTGTGTACATGGAGAGAATGAAAATATTCCCTTTTAGGGCGTTTTCCTGTTTACGGCAACAAGGAACGACGAAATTCACTCGGTGAAAATGATACGTTTACAAAAGAAATTAACTTCAAGAAGGCAAAGGGGGGCCGTATTAAGCTATTAAACTTGTCAGTCAGCCAAGCTAATTTCATTTTCCTGGTTTGAAATTTTTTTTTTTGTACACACTGACAGTAAGGGAAAAACAATATTGCTTATGAAATTTTCCTCAATGAACAATATTTTAATACAATAAAACAGGGATTTCTGCAGTGTCTGAAAATTGAGAAGCCAAAAATTAATTACAAACACAGCACATTTTGGATTTGAATTTGGATCTATATAGGCTCAAATGAACATGTGTCGAGTTGAGCCTATTCGCTTCTTGTAGTCCACCGGCAATTCCAGCTTTTGCTATTTACATTAAATTGCCGGCTGACTCGAGAGTCACCCACCCCAGGTCTTGGCAATCGGAGGGCAGACGTCAGTCTTATCCTTCAGCCACCGAGGTTGGGTTCCAAGTGTTGTCAACAGTGAGGTCAATTTAGCACCCAACGCATGCAATTCCAAACCCATTCGCACATTCTTAAATACATTCACTCCTATTTACATACTACTCATTCAATTAGGGTTGTGGAGTTCTCGATATTTTTCCATTACATTGTACAACTAACCCAATTGAGGGTCGATGGGTACTCGATAATCCGCCTCTTACATCACACATTCACGCTAATAAATATATTCACTCTCAACACAACTAGGTATACACAACTATTATTACTATATACAATAGAAAAACCCCATTTCCTCCAAGAATAGGAATAGGGGACCCAAATACTCGTTGCCGCGCTCAAAAACAATTCCCAAATCGGGCAGCATTCCTGCGTGCTCTCTCTCACACAACGCATTCAAGACTTAAAAAAAAATGTTTTGTAGGGTTAGTTTTGCAGTAATGAGAAGTGGCCTTTTTATTCAAAATTGTATTTTTCTCTTTTTACGTAGTGTCGACGTTCGAGCCATTTGCTCGTCTTCTGGAACTATTATTTATATAAAGAAACCTTATATTAGATTATTTATTATTAAAAAGTTAGTTTATTATTAAAAAAATAAATAATAAACCATAACTTTTTAAATAATAAATCTAGTATAAGTTATTCAGATATCGTGAGATGCGGTCGGGTATGATGTAGGTTTCAGAAAAACATTTTCTTTATCGTGGCACGATAAAGAAAATGTTTTTCTGAAACCTACATCATACCCGACCGCATCTCACGATATCTGAATAACTATCGATTAACGGTCACTAATCTCTACACATATCTAGTATAAGGTTTTTTTCTATATAAATACTAGTTACAGAAGATGAGCAAACTGCTCTAAACGTCTAAAATTCTGTAAAAAAGATAAAAATAAAGTTTTAAATTAAAAATAACTCGTGCACAACCTAACCCTAAAAAATAAAATTTATACAATTTCATGTGGAAAAGAAAAAACAAGTATAAAACGTTGATTTAATTAATCAAATTACTAATCACTCATACACACCACTTCCTCCTTACACGAAGAGATGAAAAGGATTCCAATAAATGGAAATCACACCGACTCAAAACTGAAGCTGGCGAGATGGTGAAACTTGTTTATTAGACCATAGCAGCGAGAATAGGCAGACCAAATGATCGGAAACAACCAGCTTGTTTATATTGTGTAATAATAATAATGTGTCAACGAAGGTTGAAATCAAAGAATGCTTCATCAAAAAGACCGTCATGTTCGAAGGTTGTAATTTATTGGCATAAATTGTTCTATCTGAAAACGGACATTTTAACAATTTTTCTGTAAAAACGTTGTTAAAATTTTTTAATTTTGTACAAACGAGCCCAGCATCATTTAAATACATAGGTGCTTCCGACATCACAAAATGTTTTTGAAATACGGAAGACTAAATTTATATAAAGGAATGATTATTTGGAAAAAGGAAATGACTGTAAAAAAGTAGCTTATTTCGTACCATTTTGATCCATCATGGTGATTTGTAATTTGTTCCCTCCAATCCTTAATGGTGGAGAGACTTTATTGATATTACAACCTAGCGCTATTAACGTAGCTAATAATTAATCCTCCTTTACTACCATAGACAATAAAACTTATATATGTAACATGCTTTTTCACCAAATCACTGCACCAATAATAAATCATGTGGCTAGAGGGGTTTGAGTCTTCTGGCAAGGTATTTGACGTCTTCAGTTTCACTTTTGTAGTCTTTGATGGTAGGCTAAAGCGGCTTTATAGTTAGCTTCCTATATTTTCCGTTTAGAGGTCACGGTGGACGTTTTCATTCATCATGTACAGTACATTGACCACGCTTCTCGTTACTCTATTATGAAATCTGTATGAGTTGGCGGTTGGTCTTGCTGGCACAGCCCCAGAGCTAGATGTCGTAAATCTACATATCTTAAGGACCTGTTGATTAAGTAAAAGTTTACTTTCAGTAGGTAATGGAGAGTTTCTGCCCATTAACCAGTACGTTTTCGGGAATATGATGGTGAGTTCTTCACACAGTATTAAGGACGTGCAAAGTTTTTTTCAACCTCTCCCATACCGCCTGAGGTCGACGCTGCTTATTGCCTGCGGCCATATGGGTCGTGAGCGCAGCTTTTTAGACACCCATCCATCGGCGCCGTCTGTCGGGCAAAGCCACTAGACATATACGGGACCTGACAAGCTGACTTTACGAAAGGACTTGAATCCTGATGTACGGGCGAAGTAGAGGGCCCCCACTACAGAAAACGAACACCGGGAGAGACCGGAAAGAGATTATATTTCAGTTCAATAACAGAAAAAAATTGGCTGACACATATTGAATTTTCCGATTTGTGAAGCCCATATACATTTTTCTTTATTCAGCTTTATTCTCCATTATGTTGTCCATTTATAAATTTAGGAAATGGAGTTGTTCAATCGAATGAGTATCGCTTTCTCCAACCGTATCTTCTGCCAAAATTGCCATGGTAGTTGTTTCGTTTGCTGGTAGATTGCTAGTGAAGAGCAGATATAGGACATAGTCTAGTACACAGCCTTGCGGTACTCCAGCATGGATCCGTTTGAGTTCCGAATAGGCTCTTCTTCTTTAATTCCGAAGTACCTGTCAGCAAGGTAGGATTCGATAGGTTTTGAGTAGTTATTTGGAATGGAGTTTTTTTATAAAAGACCTTCACGTCCGACTTAATCAAATGCTTGAGCCACATCTAGGAAAACAGCAGAGCTTACAGTGCTTGTGCAATATTTCGGCTGTTCGGTGACTTGGTTAGTCGAAGATTCGCCGAAGTAAACTGATGGTTGAGCATAATTTTGTGATCCTCCCTAATTGACATTGCCCTTTTTAAGTAAGAGTCTTTCAAGTAATTTAGAAAACAGCGGCAATAGAGAAATCGGTAAATAATATATAAAACATATTTAAGAGTAAAGGTAGCATTGATGATCCTCGCCATCTTCTGGTTTTCTAGTCAACTCTCTGAGAATCCGACCAGAAATCAGGTCGGGTTCAGATTTTGATCACTGCAGGGTTTTTGATGTCGGGATCATGTTATTTCTTATAGTGGTTGCTCGTAAAGTTCGGCTTCATCTGCTGCGCTTTGGTTGCCATTGATCGAGGAGGATTAAATGCTGAACTTCAGATATCCCTTTTCTGAGACAGTTCATTACTTATCATGGCGAGAAGTGTGAGTAGTACGTAAAACAACGAGATTAGACAGAATCGGATAAAGTGATCAGTGCCGATTGGTTTAACAATCGGGTTGAATAGATTGTAGAGAACTGCACTGACTAAACAGCGTAGATCTGCGTAAAACGGTTTTAACCCATCCGGAACAAACGAGTCTGTTCATCTCTATAAATATTCAAGAGGGGTATGTTTAAGGACGTTTCCAATAAAAGATCAATTTCTAAATATAGACAGCAGGTCGTGTCCGGCCCATGGACAAACACGAGCTGCTATTCTTAATCCGGTTGTAATGATCTCATCTTGCTGTGATTAAAACGTTTTGGCAGTTGGCACCTTCATCTTTTTCGGCAGAAGTTATGCAACACATAAAGCCACTGTTTATATATCTGTACAACTTTGTTTAGAAAACCTCTATTTTCTGGCTTCACTTTAAACGGGGAAAAATTCTGCTTTAGGGGTTTAGAATAAAACAGTACAAGGCCCCTCGTCTGTTGGCTTTTTTCTTAATTATTAGGCAACTACGACGTTTGAAGTCTTTGGCAGAGTTACGAAAATAACAGACCGGCGGTTTAAAAATAAACGTGTTAGCATCCGGAAATCCTACGGAAATTATTTATACCTAATTATTAATTACTTTTTTTATTCATCAGAGATCTTATTTATCTGAGATAAGACTTATACCCTTTGTCGTCGGTCGTAATTTTGTTTCGTAGTTGATAAATAATTCATATAGCGACTTGGAAGTTTTGTTGAGTATGGTGGAAAATTCACGCGCGTTCGGCAGATACGTATGTATGTAAATGAGAAGCCGGGACATAAAGAGACAAAACAAGCGGGAAAAGATTCTGCCTTAGCTATCGTTTGTTCCAAATAAAATTCGACATGTATTATGGTAATTGGGGTCGGTTGGAAGAGGGTGGACGACCCCGAAACCCCAGAACATGCCCTTGTTTTCGATAATTGAGATATCTAGGATTTCCCGATCCCTGGCGCCGCATATCGATTTTCAGGCCTAATACAAACTTTTCGTCTTTGATTGAGCGACAATTTATCTGGGATTATAGTGGATGATCGACGTAACGATAAGGAAAAAATTAGAATTTCCAAGGAGGTTTCCTCCCTTGTCTGTATTAGATACTTCATAGAAACAGCTATCGTCATCCATAATTCCTGTTACGTTCCTCAATTAAAAATAATAAATGGGTCACCCTAAAAATCGATCCACACATTACAATTTTCCATTATTCAATACAGTTTACTTAGTATTGTAAATATAGTTTGTCAACAATTTGGTCATTAACTTTTACCCTTGAAGCCTGAAAGCTAAAATAACATTTGGACAATGTGTAAATATTTTCTTCATTTTCTTCACCGTCAACGGAAGGCTATGAACGTGGAATAATCGATTTTAATTAAACAGTTTAGGCGGTACTGGCCCAAAAATATTAGGCATGTATGTGGGCTTTCTTATCAATGGATTCTACGAACCTAGAAAAAAATTGGCTAGCTAATTTAAATATTTGTTTTAAAAACTTGATTTTACCTTTTTTGTGAATGTATTTCAAGTTTATTCTATATCAGTTGATTCGTTTTTTTACCTACAATAAAAAAAACAAACATATTAAATGAGATTAGATATACAATAACTTATCCAAAAACGAAAATACGTTATCAGAAAAATACATAATGGAAATAAAAACGCCACGAACAGATTTCGGAAAGAGCCCAAAACCTGGTGGAACAACACTCCAGGCATGGGGCTCGCAAGAGATTTATAGAAAAGCCATCCGCAAGACTTAGAAACGAATTACTCCTCCAGTACCCACGACGGTAACTGCAACAGTACCGGGATTCTGGTTGAACTCCTGTCAATGCATTGTGGCTAAAAACCGTATAGGAGATCAGTAAGAAGAATACTGTTCAGATATTACCAGGAAGAAGACAAGATTGCGGAATACGTTTTGTGTTTTCTGAAGGTCTATGTAGGTGGATATTCATGCAACTATGAGAGGAAAATCCGCAACCAAGACTCTAAACTAAGGAGCCACTGGCAAGGCTACGGGGGTTGATTAACAAACTGAAGCTGGCCTGTGAGTTATAAAAACAGAGGAGCACAATAAATCTCCTTGGGTCGAAGTGCAGAAGGCCCTGTGGCCTCTTCTTTTACCCCATCCCTATCCCAGTTTTGAAAACAACATTAGACTAATAAATTAGAAGAATGATTATTTATCCATCCAATATCTAAAAAAAAGCAATAAAATAACGGTTGAATATGGAGTTATATGTATTTTAAGATAATATTTACAAGTATTGGTCTAAGTAAGAGAATCATGCCAATTTTTCTATGAAATAATCATTCAGTTATTTCTCAGCGATTAATCCGTTTTTATTGCTACCATCCTGCCGTTTAGTGAGGCAATTTAATTTCCTGCCGCAGACCGAAAAGGCTTGTTGTCTTTTGATTGAACAATTCTCTCGCCAATGAGACAAATGGTTGCATTTCTATTCATTAATACTATGACACTTTTCCTTGCCATGTGCATTTCGTCGTTGCAGCCGGGAACTATAATATAATACAAATAAAGTATTTTTATTTATACTTCTCCTGCAATAAGTGAAATGTTCTTTTAAGGATGACCGAACTTAATCTACTAAGTAAACATTATTTAAAAAACAATAAATTTTCATTTACATTTTTACTACTGGATGTCACATCCAAGTTCAATTTTGACACGCCGATGAGAAAATTTATTTTGTTTCTATTTGCCAAAAAAAAGAAGTTGTAAGCACAATTATTGAATAAATTAATAATCAATCCGATAATAAAGTCAGGGATAAAGCCAAGTGTAAATCAAAACGCTCCGCTCTATCGTTGAGCTCTTGAGGAATAAGTGCCTTCATGAGGACTTTAAAACTTTTATCTTTGTACGATTGATATCAGCCTTAACATCATAATTATAAAGATGAAGGATATGGCGAGTTTGAAAGAAAGAAAAAACACCAGTACCTTTGAATACCACCAAAACTTGTTGTATCTTCAAATAGGACCAAATAGTCCTGGACTTTGTAAAGGTCACTGCTGGATGAGGGTTTGCTGAAAGGTAGCCTATCGTTTTCATATGTGAGGAGTGATAAGGAATGTTTACAGTGTATAATGAAAAGAGAATGGGAACCCGGGGGATAGTAGTTTGTAAAACACTCGCTTTGGTGAAGTGAATGGTGGAGAAGGATGTTGCGATTCTTATTTAGCAGGTTCAGTTAGCAATGATGAATTCCTTGCTGGTGGAAGTATATATTATATGGATGTATACAGTTTCCTCGACAAGCTTTCAGAGTGGATTTAAACAGCCCCCTTCTTTCACGCTATCACATAACTTTTACTCATCGGACGTCTACACTCAATTCGGAGTACTCAATTTTCCTCGGAGTAGGGTTAGATAGCTCTTTCCTTTTACACTAATAAATTACCTTTAATCACCAGAAGTCATACACCGATTCCGAAGTACTTGATGTTCCTCGGGGTGGGGTAGACAACCCCTTCATTTAACGTTAATAAATTACTTTTACTCACCAGACGTCATACACTAACTCCAGAGTACTCGATATTCCTCGAGGTGGGGTTAGCCAGCCCTTTCCTTTCACGCTAATAAATTACATTCATTCCAATAAATTAACCAAACAGTTCATTTATTTCCATGTTCAGGATTTAAAAGCAGCCAAAGAGAATCGTGAACTAAAGAAAATCTCGACTTTTCAAAACTGAACAACGCCAAATAAACGCCTACTTGCCAAGGAGCAATTATTATTAAAGAGTGAGTGTCAATTTGCGGGGGGTGGAACGGTGCAGTGGTGCGCGGGTCACACCCCTAATGGGAGTGTTGACAGGGTTGACGTCACCCCACCCATTACCACCCTAAAAGGAAAGGTTTTAAACGGATATCGCCGAAGCGACCCCACTTGTAGCTAAACCGGAAGAGACCCTACACACGTTTTCCGGCCAAAAACAAACCGGGGATAAATAGCGCGTGGGAGGAATTATCGCCCATCCCGTTCTCTTTAAATCCGAAAGTTTCAACTGCGTCAAAACTACATAGGTTTTTTATAGTGCACATGCTATTGGTATGTGTTATTACACATGTAATACAACAGATTTCTGTTGTTAAACATACGTCAACTGTAATAAATATTTGCTAGTAGGCCTACTGGCATCGCATCTCAAAGGCACCCTTTTTCATATCAATCGTCTAGAAATCAGCAATATCCTTTAAACAATTATTAAGAGGAAAATGCATTTTAATATTTCACAAACTTGATTGATTAAGGCTAGTATTAAAATAGTCCCTTTTAAAATTCGTCAATTTATAACTTTTTACGTAAAATTAACCCTTTTTAATCGCAAACTAATCTGTTTAATTTCAAATTAACCATTTTTAATCGTAAAATAATCTTTTTAAAAGACAGATTAATCTTTTCCCTTAAAGTATTAAAAAACTTAGAAGATGATACGATATATAAACATGTAAAGAAAATTATTACATATTTGATAATTTAAAAAAATGAATGTATTTGTTCATATTTCTATCGGTTTGTTCACTGTTTGTTAACTTTTTTGAATTAAAATCTAACGCTGTATGTATTTGTGTATTGTTATTATTTCTTTTTTATATTATTTCTTTAACTTCACTCCAGAAGCATGTCCTGCTTATTGTCAGTGTCAAAACTCTCTGTATAAAATTATTAACTCAATTCAGTTTTTTTCCAAAAGAGTGAGAATGAAATAACTGAAATATACCCTCCGGACCTCTAATAATTTCACGACAAGTTAAGGAATAGAGTCACTGTTTTCAACTTTATAGGTTAATTATATATTCTCATGATAACTATTAAAAAGCTTGAAGAGGTTGTCTTAATTAGATTTCAATAAACAATAAATCAAATCATTCATTAGAATATGTGCAAAAATGGGAGATATAACGCCTCCCGTCGCAAAACCACCAATCTGCAATATATTTTGTTATCGTATTTAAAATATCCTTTAATTCCTGAGAAAGTGACTAAATCAGTGAACAGATCAAGTGGCACATTGATAAATTTGCACATGTTTTGATATATGAGGTATATTGTTATATTTAGGGGAATTAAATTAAATAGGGATTTAAAATCGAATGAAACAAAAAGACCTTCATATACATTAATATTTTTTATTTTAATTACATTTTTAAATTACGGTGCCCTAACCACTTGTGCTATCGTGACCTCGATCCACTCGGACACCAACTACTTATCTCAACCTACACCTTTCGAATTTTCCCTCTTTTTTCTATATTTTCAAATATCGTGTAATCAGGATTCGATTTTCGGCGACCTATAAAGTAGCCGCGGTAAGCTGTTGGCGAAGTATTTACTTCTATAATTATTATATTAATCCATATACATATTTAGTTGTCATAATTGATCGTATTAATTATTTAAATTAATTATGCTTTTTATCAGAGATAATGAAAAAGCTAGTGTTACATGACACTTGCTTTTTCTTTCAACCAAGACCTTAGATTAAAAGTATAACTTATCAAAATAATTAATATGGTCAATTATGACTACTAAAACATATATGGATTAATATTTTTTATATTTTCAATGAGCTCAAACTACATTGTATTTATTTTCACACAAAGTCTTAACCCATTTTTATAGATTATAGAAAGTGTGATTGGATTCCAAATCAAAATTATTTATTTACTGACCATCTATATGTACATACATATTTACAAGTTAGAGATAAGAGTATTAGTAAGAATTAAGAACATAATAATAACATAATTATTAGCAATTAATTAGCTTAATATTACATAATTCAAACTAAGTGTAACTCAAGGTTGGGTTTTTGTAGTCCAGTTTTCCCAACATTTAAGTTGTAAGACATTATATATTCTTTATTTATTTAAGTCGAGAGGTAAAGTATTATTATACCTCTCGACTTAAATAAATAAAGAATATATAATGTCTTACAATTTAAATGTTGGGAAAACTGGACTACTAAAACCCAACCTTGAGTTACACTTAGTTTTAATTATGTAATATTAAGCTAATTAATTGCTATTAATTATGTTATTATTATGTTCTTAATTCTTTTGTGTTTATAATTATTAACACTGTATTATCCTATTTTCTTATTACTAAATTTTCACTCATTACATTTTTAATGAAAAATTTAGTACTAATTTCTCTCATATTATCGTTAATGTAAGGTACACTCGTATCATTGTGGAGTTTACATATGGGTACCCTAGGAGCATCTAGGGCAAACCTTAGGAATTTATTTTGCGCTCTTTGCAACTTTTTAAAATGAGTTTTATTAGTGTCTGCCGCATACGTTAGCACTGGTCTTACTAGTACTTGTACAGTAACAATAAGTGTTGAATTTCTATTTAGTAAAGGAAATAGTTGAACTATTAGTCCTTTACATTTATTTACTATGTTATTGATATGCAGTGTGAAGTTAAGTTTTCTGTCTAAAGTTATCCCGAACTATTTTACTGCGTTTGACCACTCTATGTTCCGGTTGTCTACTATTAGTGATGTAGTGTAGGTCATCTTTTGGTGAACAAAATTGCCTGTGTACAAAAGTACCTGCCGATTTGAATTTTCCGCTTGTGGAAATATTTTAGTAGTCTATTTCGCTTATTGCAATTGGATTCCACAGGTTATAGGCCTTATCGGAACATCTTCTTTATGTACTTTAGGTAGCCCATACGTTTATAGGAAACGAGTTGTGGATTTTTTATCTTATTCTTTCACTCTTGTCATTGTAACCACAGATTTATCGACTGATCTATTGTTATTCCTTAATGAGTGTGGGATCTTTTTTAATTTCCTTCCTTCAGACTACAGCTCCACTCCATTAATGGAAAACGTTTTATAAGGAAGATGAAGACTGTAGTAAGAGTTAAAGCCCGAGGAGTGGTACCTCCAGGCAATTGGGCGGCAGGCCTCTAAATTAGATGGTATTAGTAAATAAATGTACGAACACTTTGGATCGAGTTATGGGCTTGAAGAAAAAAGCAAAATCGTTGTTACTATCAAGCTTTCGACCTATTTTAAGATCATCATCAGGGCCCATATTAATTTCACATTATGAAAAACATATTTGTACAATTGATTTAACAATCAATTAACATATAGAACTTGGAAAACAACCTTACATATTGTCTACATATTGATGTTTTCACAGGCGATCTCAAATTTCCTTGAAGACAGACCCACTCCCAACATAGCCCAAGAAAGTAACAATAAGTTTCATTTGTAAGGATGCAATACTGTTACAATGGCAATGTTGGGACTGAGTCGGACATCTAGGAAATTTGAGATCGCCTGTGAAAAAGTAAATAAGTCAATATGTAGACATAGTTGAAGTTCTTTTTCATAATGTGAAATTAATATAGGCCCTGATGATGACCATAAAGTAGGTCGAAAGCCTGGCAGTAGCCACTGAATATGCTTTCTTCGTTAAGACAATAACTTGATCCTGAGTGTTCGTAAGTGGAAAAGTGGTTGATACTTCTAATAGTGAAAAAAGTACAATAAACCAAGAGGCTGCAATGCTTCAAAACTTCCAAGGACTGTAACAATATTGCAACCTTACAACTGCAACTATCAAATATGTCTACAGATTAAGATTGATTTGCCCTGATGAAGACCTTAAAATAGGTCGGCAGTAACAACTGCATTTTCTTTTTTCTTTAAGACTATACTTGATCCAGAGTGAAACAGAGGTCGATCCTTCTAACATTGATATTATTAAATATATTTAGTATGGTCTTTCGTTGGAGAGATCAGAAAATGTTTGTATAATCAATCAGTTCAATCCTACTGTTTTTTTTAAACGAAAACTACTTTTTTGAGTATAAAACAATGGGAAGAAAGGGATCTTTCGAATTACAACGCAGTTCGGATTAAGCGTGGGCATTAAACACATTCCCGTATCACCGTCGGTAATTCTCTTTGATTAGATAATTAGTTCAAACGAAGGATACAAGATTAGCGAAATATACATAACATGTCCCGTTTATTAAACGGCGGGTTTTGTTAAATTCCAAGCTATTACTATTTTCGTATCATACAATGCAATACTCAAGCGTATTTAATGAAGAACCACTCTAAACCAAGTGTCTTGACGGCTGAATGATGACAAGAGGAGAGAAAGCCTAGTTTATTAGGTTTCTCGGGGTGGGTACAGCCTGTAAACAGTAGCTAAGCCTGTTGTCGGCGAAAAAGGCTGGATTCATTGACCCAGTTGTCTATTTATTTTGTTTCGGCCCCCTTCTCCGACAATAAATTACCAAATTAGTCCTGAGTAAATCTTGTGCTCGCCCTGGCCCTTTGTCGGGTTTCGGTTTTGGCCCATTCACTTAATTGAATTTTGTTTATTTACAATCGACTCGAGATGAAGGGCTGTCATTACATTGCAATTACTAAACAAAACGAATTCCAAAATAAAACAACCAAGGAAAAAAAAGTTCATGTTTGAAGAATACCGATATTTTTTAATTTGATAAAATAAATGTTATTTTATCAAATACTTTATTTCATACAATGTACAATAAAAATCAGAAATATAATACTTAGACGTATGCTTGGTTCATGATCATCAGCGGATTTGCTGCTTAGATATATTTGGACTTTTGGATATGCTGACCCTAGTGACTATACATCAGGGAATTCACCCACCCCGTTATGGGTCGCTAGTACTCCCTTAAGCCAGATGCCCAGGAGATCGTAGAATCCTTACCAACGGGGTTAGGCTCTGACGGGGGCTATCGACAGTTAGGTCATTTCATCTCCAAACTATTATAATGTAGCCGAATATTAATTAAATGGGGTAAGTCAGTCGCACAAATAAATACATTCAAACGTATAAATACATACTATATTGATTCTGATTAGTCAGTGGAGTACTCTATATCCCTCCATCGATCTACACACAGTATTAATAATCTAACCTAAATTAGGGGTACTTTTATAAATATTCCGCCATCGACCCCAAACTCACACAATGCTGGAGGGGCGATGGTACGCTATATTTCACCATCATCCCTCACAACTCACCCTAATAAATAACATAACATAAAAAATACATTTATAATTAGTACGTTTTTTTACTTGTTGTAGAAAAAAATACATATTCGTATATCATAATAGTTAGTAATAGACATAATAGGAATTGAAAAAAAAAATGAAATTAGTAACGAAAATAACTTTGATGGTAAAATTAATGATTGTGTAGTATAATAAAGAAAATGATATAATAATATGAAGATACCTTCTCCGGCCTAGGGAGGGCTGAATTATTAATAATGAGACAAAGATTAGAGTAGAAAATAATAGCATTTTGAATGAATCCACTTTAAAAGTTGAAATTGTGAATACAAAATATTGATAATTACATGCTGTCCTACAATAATTAATTAAAGGTAACCACTTTCCAAAGCCATTAAGATATGTTAAAAGTTGCTCTCAGGAAAACGTACTATTATGAAAGAACCTTACCCTGAACCCCTTAAGGTAAGGGACATAACGCTATAAAATGATATATAATTTTCAATCTCTGACATGTTGCAAAGGGAACATAAGTGCCTTTTTGTGATCAATGGAATTTAAAGGTGAATCTCAAAAAGTCTAAGGCTAGGTTCAGAAGAGTTGGTAGACTTAAATCTTCGTACCGTTGGTATTATAAAGGGGAAAGAATAGAGGTGGTTAATGAGTATAAATAACTTGGTGTTCTCCTCACCCTCAGAATGCAGTGGACGAATAATTTAAGAAACAAATTCTCATTAACAAAGTTTGCAATCAAGACGTGATCCTTTCTTATCACTCAAGCTGTAATCCCATTAAAACTGAAGTATCAAGTATTCAACTCTCAGTGTGTTGTTCAATACTATGTTACGGTTTTCAGATATGAGGCTATCAACAATTTGATTCAATAGAAAATGTTCTGATATTATGTCCGTAAATAAGTTGCATTACCTATTCCTCGCCAGATCTATTATACACACAAATACCACCTTACAGCATCACTTATCATTCATCCTTAAAACCTTACACTTTTCAGATTCCAGGCTAGTAAAAATAACAGCGTTAGAAATCATTAGGTTCAACATTTCCAGGTATGCACAATGGCAATCTCTATACTATAAGTATTCCCTAACCTCCACAAACCTTGATAAATGGTCATACCTCTTTTCAGCTTTGTTGTATGCAATAAAAGATCAACATAGAAACGAATGCTTACGCCGTGCTCAATCCTCAGTTTATTTCACGTTGTTTAGGACCTATCTCATTCATGTCCATTCTTGTTAAATAAGCTTATTTAATTTAAAAGAATAAAATTTCGTCGTTCTTAATCTACCTGAGTTGCGTTGGCTTCTAAACCTTCGTTGCGAGGTTCTCCATTTGAACTGTGCTCTTTGGATTAGAGCGAGGGCTGAGGAGATCTGTTCGCAACTCGTGGTCAATTGAAATAGTTCTTCACTTCTTACCTGATTTTAGGATAGATTCGTCCATTACACCTCGGGTCCTTTACTTTCTTAAGAGTCCAAATCATTGAGATTTGAATGGTTCGGATCCCCCGGCTAACGTACGGTATGCTAGCTTCGCTTGGAAGTATAAATTCCATTTAGCCCAGGAATTTTAATTTCGTATAAAGCTTTCCTTCGTTAAGTAGCACAGACATAAAATAGCCAATGATCTGGAAGATCAAACTCATTACTTTTCTTGTATTTATTTCTATTTTTTTTATGTTCTACAATTAATGTATATCCAGAGTTCTACGTTTAGTTTTGAATTCGATCATGTGTGACAATTTACAACGATCTCCGACGACAGACTGATTTAATTTCATATATACATAAATGTGTTTAATTGACGTGCACAAAATTGTAAAATAAAGTATTTCTATCTATCTATAAAGGCCTTGAAGGATCCGTCAATATACTAAAATTTAGGTACAACACTCACCTCTCGCATTAATTATCTAATTAAATTAATTATATATATGTAGGGATTGGCGTGAGGGAGGACGAACAAGAAAATATGTCACCGAATAACAAATTATAATTTTAGTATTTAACAGATACTATATTCTAGATAAGTACCAACATATGTATCGTTTAGTTAATTTGTTTATTATTATTTTTTATATATATTCATATTGTTTAATTATATTTCCTGAATATACCGTAGAGTTAGGAGACTTGAACTTCAAGTTTTTTAACATTTACTCATTAAAATTATATTTAAAGCAAGGAAATTTATTAGGTTTTTCTTTTTTCAATGAGCCAGTAACAATTTCAGTACACCTTATCAAAAGGTCAGGCATAAAAACCGGAGATAACGAGTTTTCCGCCTTACCGGCCGGTAATCCTGACGGATTGCCTCGCCTATTTTCAATATTACCTGTCAAACCGGATAGCAATTAGTGCCGAAAACCACCTCTTAAAATCAAAACAAACAAGCAGCTTTTGAACGTTACGTTGAATAAAGAAGCAATAAGCTAATTCGTTTTTTTTTTTTTTTCAACAATGCTAAATGTGGAGAAAATCCGCTAATTCAAATGCAGTGTAGCCCTGAAGCATTTATTGATCAAAAACGCCGTTCTTACCAATCCTTTCCCAGTATTCCAATCTCTGTTAATAAAGAGATTTTTCTGTCTGCGTTCTCTATTTTATAAATTCTATATTGACGTGGACGAATAAATGATAAAAACGTGAAAGGATTTTCAAAACTTTTCTCTGTCTCAATATATAACGAGTAAAAAAAGTGAGTGAAAGGATGTCAGTTAAGCTAAACATATATTGCTCAGTTTGATTATATAGCCAGGGCTGTAAACTTCAATTTAATTAAAAATAAACACTTCAGAGCATTTTGCATTTGCCTACGAATAATTTTTCAATTTGAACTAAAAGATAAATTTAATGTAGTAATTCGAGTTTCAATTTCCTCGTTTATTATATTATTACTCGAAAGCTCTATAATAAAACAATTTGCTTCCGTAAGACTTTTTAACCTTCATTTTCTTAATCTGTACTGCTTATTATGCTTTATGAGTTTTCTCGAAGTTTATTTACTATCAAGGGAACGACCAGGTTGATATGCACGGAATTGAACCAAACTTTTTTTAGTGATTCTACACTCCAAAATATCGGACAAGTATCCGCCACTTCCTGTGGATAGGCCCTGATTTTGCTAAAAAAAATTTGAAAGTTGAAATTTTTCGTTTTTTAATATTTTTATTTCGCTGCTCTACTTGTTCAAATCAACTATATGAATATATAATTTCGCAGCATTTTTATGTAGATTGTAATAAAAATATATTTAAAGCTATCAAAGTTTATCAATAACTAAAAAATTTCCAAAAAATAAAATATTTTTCAAGTAAAGTAGGTCATAATTTTTTTCCATGAAACTAAAATGAAATTTCGTTTTAGCACCTCTAAAGACCTCTAAATATACAGTTTTGCTTCAATTTAAATTTAACGATTTTTGAGCACTAAATTTTTTTTTATTTTTTGAGAAGTCGTTATAGGAATATATTATTGAAACGGCTATTATTCAAAAATTTTCAAGGTTGATAATTCGTTTTAAAGAAATTGTCAAGTGCATTTTATTTAATTTTTATATTTTATTTTAATCAAAAATACTTAATTTAATAAAAATATGAACCCGTCATTGTCAGTCGGGTTTTGAATTGACAGGGTAATCCAATGTAGGTTGAACGATAAGATAACTGTTAGTAGGTGATGCCGCCCTGGCTTGTGTGTTATCAGACAACCCGCTTGTACAATCCATATGGGTGTTTTTGTAAAAGGTCTTTGTAAAAGAATTGTTATTAGGGGAAAAGTCGCCCTGTTCCTTGACGTCTATACAGTCGGAATGAGTCTTCCGAGCGAAAAATGAGTTGGACCCCGAGAAAAGGCAAAATAAGGGCTTTTAGCAAGCCTGTCACGTACTTCAAGACAAATATTCGTTACGAGGGGACTGTTTGTCATCAACGGTGTTACAAAAATAAGAGATATTCTATTTTTACCTGTTTTTATCCTCAAAAAATCTTTTGTTATAAATGTGTCAAGGGCAGTGTTCCGGACCAGAAATAATGAAAGTATTTTTAATTGCGCTTGTTATCATTTACCGTCGAAATCCGACAGAACAAATTTTTCCTGAGTGTAGATAAAATATCGCACTCTCGTAAAAATGAAATGAATTATTATAGACATTTCCACATGTTTAATAGGTTAATAAGTGTATTTAGACCCTCACTTTGTGTCATGAATGATTGCTCGCCAGATTTAGAAAATAGGCACACATCTGTATAAAGTACTCTTTAATACTCTCTCTCTCTCTCTCTCCCTGACTTCCGCTCACTCCTCTCTCTTCTCTCGTTTTGTTATCTTTATCTCTCCCTCTTTTCCCTCTCTCACTTCTTTTTCTTCCTTCTTTCTCTCACTCTTTGTCTCTACCTCTTTCTCTTTTCCTCTCACTCCTTCTCTATCCTCATACTCTCTCTTCTTTATCTTTATCCCTTCCACTCTCTCTCTTCTCTTCTTCCCCTCTCACACTCTGTTTTTATAGTCTTTCATATCTTTCTTTCCTTGTATTTAATTCTCTACCGCTCGCTGTCACACTCTGTATCTCTCTCTCTCTTTCTCTCTCTCAATAATAACTTTTTCTCTCAGTCTGTATATATCTCTCCCTTTTGCTTCCCTTAATTCTCTATCAACTGTCGACTGATCGCTCAACAGATTTTTTCCAACGTTATGCTATCTTTTCGCTATCGGTCCGGAGGAAGCGGAATGTTCGCTAGTTCGATAGGAAAATATCAGATTCAGGGGGAAATTGTAGCTAGGAGAAGGTGATTGCCAAACTTTATCGAAAAAACTTTTCTTTGTCCGTAAAACTGCCTATGCAAACGTTGTTATCGTCAAAAGATTGCGTAATATATTCCCTCACCCTAGGCAATTTTGTGTGGACTAGTGTAATGTTTGTTTCGAAAACCAAATTGGGTAACTGGAAAATCGTTAGACTATATTAGATTATTTTGCAAAAACAGTGAGATATCTTTATAAAAAGATGGTTCCTAGTCACAGTAAGAGTGTTACTGTGAGTAGGAACAATCTTTTTAAAAAGATTGAACAACACACTCACTCCACCATTATTTATCTTTTCTAAACACTGAGATAATCTGGTTAAGAGAGTTTATTCAAATATTGTTATTGTTTCAATTTTTTTTTCATGTAATTACTTTTATTCATTTAATTATTTTTTAATTTATATAATTATTTATATATTTTTGTAAAAATTGTTTGAGGGTTATTTTTATTATAAATATTGTCTTCAGTTTGGTCGTCATTGGAAATTTTTACCGTTCTCTTCAGATATTTTGAACAACCGAATTTCGGGTTTTTGATAGATAACAACTCATAGACCACCGAACACAGGTTGTCTCTTACTTTGTCGGGTGTAAATCTGGTGTTGCAATGCCTTTGATCTCATCCAACATTAGCAACCAGCTTAAATCTTTTTGTCGCTCGTAATCTCTCATCAAAGATCAATACCATAATCGCAATATGATGCTGTTTCCGTTCATCTGTTGGACCATTGTTTGGTTAATTAGTAAAAGCCTGCAGTAGAAGGGTTTTTAAGTGCCATTCGAAATTCTCTGACAGTTAAGCTAGGCTTAAAAGCCAGCGTTGTTTGAACAATTGAACCCCATGTTCAATGTTTATTAGATGATATCACAAATTGAAAAAGAAATAGGAATTGGGATTTCTTGGTTAATATAAATTTAATTATAGTATATTGAACAAAATAATTAATTAATACATAATTTTATGTTACAGAAGGGGGCCAGAGTACCTCAGGGACTTCGTTTCTTTGTTGTAAGTACTCATTATTACTATATATTTTATAAATTTCTCACCAATGGAGGAGATTCTTAAACCAATTCAATATTTTATACAAGAGGTTTTACTACGCACAGATTACTATAAAACATTGATTATGTGATAGATTTATTGTTGATTCGTTCATTTAAAAGTATCGATCTTGAGAGAGGATGTGTGATCTATATCCTTGAATATCTATATTAACTTTAATAATAGTTAGGAAATTGAATTAGAATTTTGTTTTGTTTTTCTGTTTTGTAAAGTGGTCTTCAACAAAAATAAAAAAGGTAATTATATCTCACCTGCAATCCCACATTTTATTAGTTTGTTATTGAATTAAAAAAACAAAAAAAAACCATGCTATGTAACGTAACGTAAGTGTTAAACATCCCCTAGCAAAGTGATTTAATCAACAATGCAGGGTACACTTCACCTTAGTAGATATAGTAACCGGTGTTGTAACGTACACACTTTTTTTACGACGTTATGCTGCGTAGTCTATGAGTTGTCTAATCTAAGCCCTGGGAGAGAAAAGTAGATCATTCTTAAAATATGGATTCTTTAGTTGTGCTGCATTACAAAATATTTAGATAACAATTAAATATAATTATGCCTCTCAGATTTCCTTGACTTGCATTTTTGTTGACTTTAACACTTGCGAGGAAAGTGAATTGGAAGGCCATTTTGTTTTGTTTTTCTGTTTTGTAAAGTGGTCGTCAACAAAAATAAAAAAGTAATTAAATCCCACCTGATACCCATTACACTTTTTTGTTATAGGATAATGAAATCACGTCATAAAATTTGAAGAAATAAACTTTAGTGTCTAACAAAATAACTTAACCTATTCGGGCTACACTTAACGTTATGTTGTGTTGCTTGCCCTTTGATGGTAGCAGTGTCGCCAGCTTATATGAAACACATTTTTACTACATTATGCTCCGTGGTCTGTGAATTTTTGACCATTAATTTTTTTTCTTTTCTTTTTTGAATGTGGGTATCAACAGAAATAAAAAGATAATGAAAACCTACTTGACATCCCACTTTATTTGATATGCAATGAAAACCTCCTCTTAGAATATGGCAACAGGCCATCAGTTCTCCAACTATTTTTAGTTTGATAATTTATGTGAATGGGTTAACGGCAAAAGGAAACGTTCCTCTGCAGATAAATTGTTATATTTAAACATTTCAGTCAAAATATGAGAATATTTGTTTATGATTGCCACAAATTAAGGAAGACAAATTATGAGATTTGAATGAATTAAAAATAAAAGGTCGCAGCTGATTATGTTTATAGCACAACCATTTAATGAACTATGTGATTTCAATTATCAGTAAAATGATTCAGCCTTGTACCATGTTCAGAAACCTTTCTATATCGATGGAGAAGTCCATGAAAATGTTTACATTAGTTGTGATAACACATCTCATATAAAGCAAGGTTTGGAAAAAATATGGTTTAACATGGTTTGATATTCGTATGAAAATCTATTTTTAAATTTTTGTATTATAAAAGAAATTTTCATTGATCCAAACGTAACATATTTGACGCCATGTATGTACGTGTTATTCGTATAATCTCAACACAATAACAATATTTTAGCTAATATGAAATTACAGTTTATAACATAAATACATCCATAAATTTTATGCAAGAAAAAACACATTTAAACTAGATTAAAAACTTTTATAGCACACTAGTTTTTTTGTAAACAAAGAAAATTGGCACAACCATTAGCAAAATTAGCTTGCATATTTTTCAGCCCATTATTTTCAAACGATAAATTAATCCTATTATTTAAAGAGAGCTTACGGCCAATGATTTTAGGGTATTGAGAAGGGGGTTACTAGTTTAGACTGCTTAACAGTTCTAATTAATAAATATTAAAATTTTCTAAAGCTATTATAAAAAGGTAAAGTTTACATTTGATTCATGGAATACGAAGCCGAATTCAAAACGTTTTGAATAGGCAAATAAATATACATAATTAGGTTGGTAACATTAATACCATCTCACGACAGGCTACACTGGATACGATAACACTACTTAAGGTCAAGTGCAGCCCGAATATGTGATCAAGTTACATTGTTAGATGTATAGTTTTATTCCTAAGATAAATTATAAAGGAAATAAAAATTCAATTCAATGATGGATTCATCAATTTGTTAAGGCAACATGATCTTTATTTCTCTCTCAGTTATGTCTCTGTCGTCATAAAATCGTAATATTTTGTGTAAGTTAGTACTAGTTACCATCTCAGGTAGGCACCACTGGTTTTATAAAGTTTCATGTAGCCTGCCTAGTTGATCAAGACACGTTTGTTGTTTCAGTAACTAGTAAGGTCGTAACGTGATTTTGTTCTACCTGTAACAAACTAATTAAACGACTTTGCATGTTACGTTTAATTTTGTTTTTTGACTTCTACTTTGAAAAATATATAAAAAAAAAAGAAATACTCAACAAACCACAGAATACACAGCACAAATTTGTAAAAATATAAGTAAGTTGGCAATACTGCTATATTCTCAGGGCAGTCAATACTGATTACCATAGCATTACTTAAGGTTATCGGTAACCTGCATAGTTGATCAAGTCACTTTGTTATACGCGTGGTTTAATTTATAAGGTTGTGTAACGTGATGTAGTTCTGAAATAACAAAAGAAATTAATGTATGGCACATGTGATTCAATTACCTTTTCATTTTTGTCTACTAATTAATGCCAATGATAACTGAGGTGGTATGTAAGGAAATTATATTTTTACGGCAATGGCGCGTGGTTTATGAGTGTGGACCTTTTGTTTAATCTGAAAGAATCTGAATCCGCTATCTGGTCCGCCTAGTCGAAATGCGATAGTTAATTTGTCTATACTTAGAATGTATATCCTGGGGTCTATCAAAATTACTGGTTCCAACTAGGCCAGATTGAGGTAATTAACTACATAATATTATTTATAATATGAACAATTTGGGCATTCTACCTGTTAAATTGTCATAGAACTGTTGTATATGCGAAATATTTATTTTTTGCAAGGATTTAACTATATGGATTAACGTTACTTGTAATCTAGGCTGACTTGCCTGAAAAATAAAGGATATGTAAGAGTAGGGTTGTTTTCCAGTTTAATGATAATTGTGTGCATTCTGGTTTAGTCAAATTTTTCTAGTTGTTCATGTTCAGAAATCGTGATTATTTGGGTCATATGCGAGCAGGTACATCCATGTTTATGTCCTTTTAAAATTTGAACTTGTCAGAACAAATACAATCTATCTTACTTTTAGGATTGTCCTTTTAGTGTTTGAAGGAAGTAGGGTTTACACATATTTTTGTACACAAGACTATAATACCTTATTAGAGGTATAATTACTACGAACATTTAAATATAATGTTTTGTTTTGCTTTTCGAATAACTTTTGAAAAGAAAATATAATGTTTTGACAGGACAATGCTGATGATAATAATTATCATAGTAATATTTACATTTGTATCTTTTGTTTTCCGGCCGTGTCGCCTTGCTGATATTTATTACTTTGGTTGCGCAAATGTTTTCCTCGAGGCGGGATAGAACCGAGACAAAAAATTTCGTCCAAATATAGCCCGTAAATTTCTTTTGGGACAAATCAAAGAAAATGTTTAGGTGGGGAAAATTGTGGTAAACAACTTGGAGATGGCACTTTAACCATCAACAAATTATTTCTATACAAAAATAACGTTTCAACAAAAGGTTATACAAATCACTTCTCCGTCCAATTTGGCAGTATGCACCTGTTCTGGGGTTTTAATTCTCAATTAAAAAGACTCCAAATTCATTAAAATCGAGTTCTGCGGATTATCATGAAGACGCCTTAGTAAAGTTGGAACTCTATACTTCCCGTGATTTAAATATACCATACAATACGTCGCGGAAGTGTTGAAAGAGGCATATGGGATATTGTATCAATGCATAAGTGAGCACCCGAATATCATCTTAACTGATGTAGTTCAGTCTCTGTCTGTAATGTAAATAAATTTAAACAAAAAATTCAAATTTTGGACGTGATCCACTGTGTTGAAACCTTCTGATATGCTACATGTCAATTAGCCTTTAACGCAACTATATATTTTTCTATTTATCATAACCAAACTGGATATGACTTACGTCCTATAAACTTAACTACATAAAAAATAGAAAAAAAAAGAAGAAATAACGTAGTATAAAATCAAGTTTGCAAAACCACTGAAACGGCCATATTCTTCCACTCATTTGTTCAGTTTATGAAAAGGTTTTTAATTTTGTGTACTATAATCTTTACTCACAAGAAGAGGCTACTGACGTGGCAACGCCAATAAAAATTTTTGTTGGTGGTACTAGGTCGAAAAATGTTAGACGTGTCCAAACTTTCTCAAACTACAGACTTGATATTTCCTTAGTTTTATAAAGTTTTTCTAGATATTTTGAGAGAGAGAGAGAGAGAGAGAGAGAGAGAGAGAGAGAGAGAGAGTGAGAGTGAGAGTGAGAGGTCATGCTTTATTTAAAGAAGCCAAGTTTATGCCATTCTGTTTAAGCAAGTGTTCAAAGCCTCTTAAAAAATTTTTACGGATCGGTTCTATGGATTTAGAATTAGTTTTGTATAAAAGGGTTTCATTCCATTTTCAGCATGTTGTAAACTTACGTGAAATATTTCGATAATTATTTAGTCAACATATTTTATAAATACGATTAAGAAACACATGTAGATAATCAAAAGCGGAAGATGTTTGAATAAACGGAAAAAATATATGTTTAAATGATTTAAACGCTGTTTTAACGCATCAATTTTTATTAGGAGCTATCGCTCATACTTTAAAGACAATTATTTATTATTCTATTTTCATTTTCATATCCGTCATTCGGTAAAAGCTGTGCTGTGATCCTGGGTTCATGTTCCAAAACGCGATGCAGAGGCCGTACAGCACTAAAAACCAAGTCAAAAAACTCCAGAAGACGAGGTTGAACATTGGTGGTCCGTAAGCG